CGGATCAAGTGGCCTCCATGTAGTTCATGGGGCATTTCAGAAGGGGCACAAAGAAGCTGGTTGGAAAGTTAATTCAGCATTAAGTTGCTTAACTTTTTTAAAAAACTTTTTAAAGATTGTCCTGCTCGAAGAGCAGACTATTTAGCAATAAATGGTGGTAAAGCAAAATTTCCTTTAAAATTTTGTACGACGCAGTGGGTGGAGAATGCTGCAGTTGCAGAGAGAGCTCTTGAAATTTTTAACAATGTGAAAACTTACGTAGAAAGGTCTAAATTACCGATGACTATTACTGCACAGAATGTTATTGAAGCTATCACAGATCCTCTAATCAAAGCTAAAATCAGTTTTTTTTGTCTGTTGCCAATGTAGTAGAACCATTTCTTATGCAATTTCAAGTCCTTTAGTTTCTTTCCTATATGATGAGTTATATCATCTGATGTCATGCCTCATGGTGAGATTTATCAAAAAAGATCTTTTCACAAAAGCTGATTAATTACAAAAGTTGTTGAAGATAGATCTGCAGAATGAAAAGTGCAATTAGAGAGACGTGGTAATTGGTGTTGGAGCTGTTTTTGAGTTACAGAATTGTAAAACTGTTAGTAGTCAAAAAATTAAATTTTGAGAAGAATGCATTGGCTTTTTAATTGCTGTAGTCACTAAATTAAAAGAGCGTTCTCCACTTAAATACAAGGCTACTAGGCATTTATCATCGTTTTCACCAAAGGTTATCATCAGGTCACCTGACAAAGTGAAGATACGTTTTGATTCTCTAGCATTATTTCTGCATGGATCTGGGCTAATAAAATCAGTCCTAGCTGATCAAGCTATGAGTCAGTATTCTCGCCTATGCAATTTGGCATCATTAAAAATGGAGATTTTCAGGTGGTTTAGGTGGGCTGTGCAATGTACAAATCACACCAAAAATGTTGAAAAGTGTTCGTTTATCGTATGACCGATACCAACAAGTTCTGTCTGACAGGAGAAAAAATAAAGAAGAACAACAAAATGAACTGTGTGAAAAGCTTTGTGCCATACAATTAATAAAAGAGTTGAAGGCCAAAAATGCCAGATTAGAAAAGGATGCTGAAAGGGAATTGGTTGCTATTAATGCTGAAATAAGCCGTTTGTCATCGTCTATATACGATAATTAGTCTTGCTGTTTCTTGGTTACAACATAGTAACATTTGTGTAGACATAAATTTTCAGCTTCATTTTTTAACTTCATACTTTATTTTATTATTATTTTTTTTGTTTCAAAGTGTTTATTTATATAAAGTAAAGAGTTTTTAAGAAAACTTTGATTATTTGTGTAAAGTTGTGTGTGTTTTATTTGTTGCCTTTTTATTGCTACATTTGTTAAATTTATATCAGTAAGTCAGGGAAATTTCATTGTAGTCAGGGAAAAGTAAGGGAAAATGAAATCAAAAATTGCCTGGCCACCCTGATAAATTAGTTGATAAAGTCAAAATGAAAAACAATTAAATAATAAAAATACTGAAAAAATAAGAATATAAACAATCTGTAATAAAAATACAACAACGTTCTATAAAGTTGTGCTTTTGTAGTTTTTTTCAAAAGCAACTGCATAAAGATTAGATAAATCAGATAAAGGATTTCAATCTATTTCAAGTTTGTTCATGAAATAAAACCTTGTAAAAAAAAAAAATATATATATATATATATATATATAGTTTTATTTTTAACTAATTTCTAATAACTAATTTGTTGCGTAAAACATAAGTATCTCATAATAGATTGTGATGTGAGATAGCAACTAAAAAACTTTTCTTTTTGTTTTGATAAGAGAATAGTGTTTTTATTTATGAGAATTCTTTTCACAAGTGGAATCAAAATTTTTTGTTTCTTATTCGTTCATTATTATTTGAACTATTTATTGTATAAGTTTTATTTGTGAACATAAATTATGTTTACAAATATCCTACTGGTAACTGCTAAAATCTATTTATAAATTGTTTATAAATTTTTTTTTAATAGTTTATTAAAAATGTAAAATTATTACTAGGTTTTATTATGCAACAAAATCTTGAGTTATTCCTACTATCTAGTTATTTCTTGTACAGGCAAGACAGATGAAAAAATAGGGAAGGTGGAGTATGCATTTATGTCAATATTGAAAATATTGTGCAAATATGGTCACAGTTGATGATCATATTTGCCACAAATATGGCCATATTTCAGATCTATATTTGCATACAGATGGGTCTAAAATGATAAAATGAACTAAATAAAATTTTTAGCTAAGTGTTTTTTAAAGAAGATATATTAAACTTACAGAAATGGAATTACAACTCTTTTATCAAATACCCCTATTTTTGACAATATTAATATAGAAGTAAAAGTAATCAAATTAAACTGTTATAAATTAACAGAAATAACATGCATCCAAATTCTTTAAAGAATGCTGTACTGCCAGGGTTGGCATTAAAAAATCCGCCCAATAAAACCAAATAAATTCTGCCTAAAAAAACTCAATAAAACCTGGACAATCTGGGTTTTGTTGGGTTTCTTTAAAAATAATTTATAATTTTATGAACTATTATAACTAACATTAACATTACAATTATTATATTAGTAAATAAATAAATTATAACTATTACCATTAAATTATTTTCAACTATTAATATCAACTATTATAACCAACAACAGCTATCATAGCAGATTTACTAATATTTGAATTGATATTTGGAAATACATTATCACAATTTTTATTCAAATATTTTTATAGATTAAGACTCTTTTATAATTTTTATAGATTGAGACTTTACTACTTACTATTTACTTACTATTTTATTATGCCACTTTTATTTTTTATCTTATTCACCTCCCAAGACTGAGAAGGTCACTACAGTCAAGGAGATTACTTTGATGTGGTTACAACCTTCTCTCAACTCTTTAAATCTGGAGAAATAAGTTTGTTCATTTTAATTTCAATTTCAATTTCGAAGAAAATCAAAACTTCATTTTCCAACCTTCTTTTTCCCATTATTCATTTACATTTTTAATTATAAAAAATATTACTTATTATTATTATTATTATCTAAAATAATATAATAAATAATAAAATAATGTTATTATCTAAAAGAAATCAATACATTTAGGTTTAACTTAATTTTTTTTCTATAACAGTATTAAATTTTAATGTTTAGAAATCTTTTTTAAAATAGTTTGAAAAATTCTTGTTATAAATTATTAAATAACATCATATAAAATATGTTTTAGATAAAGTTAAAGTAGTTTTAGTTACACTAGTTTTAGTTAATGTACAAGATAAATTTAATCAAATGTTAAATTAATCCTCCACAAAAAACATGATTTACATTTTTTTTAGCATCTAATTAAATTGTTGATTTAAAATTATCATAGAAATGGCTTACGCAACTAATTTGACCATAGTGCAAAAGGAAGATATGTTCGATGATGAATTAAAATGTTTTTTTTTTAGTGAAAAAGCAGGAGCATATATTTGTCAAGTTTTTGTTGAGGAGACTGGAACTGAAAAGTTTATGGTGCGCAAGTTAAAACACTTATGGATGGAAAGCGAGTTAAAAAACTAACCTCAAACATGAAACGTCACATTACAAAGAGCCAAGGAGCACTTTATCAAAAAAATTTTCAGGAGCAAGAAGAAAAAAAAAAAAAGGCTCAAAAAAAAACTGCAAAATTCTGTTACTGTATCTAAAAATGGAGACTCCACATCTTTTGGCAGACAGAAAAAATAAGTAATGCTTGACAGGTTTTTTAACAAATTTACCATCACAATATCCAAAGAAAAATTCAAAAAAGCTTTAAATATGTTAGTACTTCAAAGTGTAGCTTCTTTTAACATGTTTAGCGATGAAGGAATAGAGATTTTGACCCGCGATTTGGCAAAAAAGTTTGGCATAAAGGTAAGCCGTGAAAATATTCGTTACCAAATTGAAACCTTGGCAGAAAAAAAGTGGTCTGATTTAAAAAGTGATTTATATAAAAAATTGATTTTCCTCAAAGTTGATGGAGCGTCAAGAGATTGCTGAAGCTTTCTTGGTGTCAATACCCAGTTTTTCTCTAACAACAAAATATTTATCAAAACATTAGCAATTATCGATATACATGCTAAACACAGAGCTGAAGATATTCAAGAAGCTCTTGAAAGCGTTCTTGACAAGTTTGTAATCCACAAAGAACAAATTCTTGGAATTAGTACTGGCAACGGGTCAAACATGGTTAAAATGGTTAATGATTTTGGCAAAGCAGATGAGATAATTGACATTGCTGAAAAAGAACTTAATGAAAGACATAATGAATGTGGAAACAATGTTTCAGAAGTCCAGGATGTTGAAGATGCTAGTAGTGATGCTGAGGAAAATGAGTTTTTCGAAGAGCAAAATGATGGTTACTTTGATGAAATTTCCAAAAACATGAAGACCATTTATCTTTAATGTTGTGGTGCCCACACACTTCAACTTGCTGTCACCAATGCAATGAAAGACTCTGAGATCAAAACAATACTTAAACGTATACGCAAGGTTGCAAAAGCTTGTCAAACATACGAAACCTTTTATTGTCACAGCGCTTCCAATGACTCAAGTTAGTGTTGAACAAGTATTTTCAGCACTTAAATATATGACGCCAGATCAAAGAAGCCATATCACATCAGATCTCATTGATGATTTGGTATTTCTAAGGACAAACAACGAATACATTTGATTTTAATGAACTTTAGTTTTGAGTTTATAATATATTGAAATAAATGTATATTTATCCTTAACATTTTTTTTTTAGACCTATTGTTTTTGAAATAATAAGTTTCAAGACATTAAATTGTTTTTATTTTTTTCTAATGCAGCACATTACTTATTAACAAAATAAACTATGTGATCTAGTTCATATTTAAATTTAGTATTAGAGCAAAATATTAGACTCAGGCTTCTATAAACTTAGTTTATAGATATACTTGTTATTAATAAAAAATAACTTAAAGTTTTTTTTATTGCATGCAGATGATAATTGCAGAAGCAGTCTGGGATCATGGAAGTATGAAACCAGATGAACTTTCATTCTCTTCTGGTGCCGTCATATATGTGTTGTTTACAGATGATGATAATTGGTGGTGGGGGATTCATAATGGAGTTATGGGTTGGTTTCCAGTGTCTTATGTTAGGGTATGAGTTATATTTACAACTTTTTTTTAAGTTCAATTTTTATTTCATTTATTTTTTTGTATATATGTATATATTTGTGTGTGTATATATATATATATATATATATATATATATATATATATATATATATATATATATATATATATATATATATATATATAAATATATATATGAGTGTGTATATTAATATTTTTTATTTTATATTTTATTTTATAAACATTACTAAATACGAATTTCTCTAGATACTAAATTTATTTTTTAAAATAAATTTTTGCTGGATTGTTGTGACCAGCATCTTCAGCTTAAAAGTTTTTTGTTTGTTTTTGTTATGTTATTTTTAAAAACGGCAGTTCTATTTTATGTCAATGGGATTGTTTAATCTTTTTCTGACCTTAGTGCGCTAGAAATGGTGTCCAAAATTTTGTTGACACATATTGTCCCTCATCTAAATTAATACCATTTTGTTGAGAGGCACATTGGTGGTACTGTATTTCAAGTGCCTCACAAACTTTCCTATCAAACTTTTTAGCATCGACTTTTAGAGTTCAAAACTGTCCCAGTTAATTTGTTGTGTACAATGTCTCATGTGTGTGGCTAATGCAGATTGTTCTTTTTTATTTCCTATTGCACTGTTTTTGTGTTGTTGCATGCGTGTTTTTATTTGCATTTTTGTTTCACCTATATACTTTTTGTTACAAATACATTTAATAAGGTAGACTCCTGGGTGGCTGTTCATTTGTAGTTTGGATTTATTTCTTGATGTTTATATTGCCTCTAGGTTCAAGTTTGATTTGAAGACCGTTTTATACCCTGCCTTCCTTAACACTTTATGCAATTTAGGAGACAGTTTTGGTACCCAAGGTAATGAAGTTGTTGGATATGTACTGGTGATGTTGTCAATGTTTTTAGTAGTCACTAAAGATTTTTTGTACTTTTTGTTTTATTTCTTTAATGATTTTTATGAGATTGAACTGTTTGTAGCCATTTTCGACAAATACTTAAATAAGGAATTTCAGTTTATTTTCTATATGTTTCTGACTGCATACATTAAATGCTCTATGTATGAAACCCTTAAATATTCCATTTAAAATTTGTGGGTCATGGTTTGATGTTGCCTTAACTTGAATGTTAGTGATTGCATTTTTTCTGTATATTTTAAATTCATATTTACCATTTTTGTTATTTATTATGCATATGTCTAAAAAATTTAGTGTTTTTTGTCAATTTTAAATTTGATGGTATATTGTATCTTTGGATGCTGTTGATTAAGTATTGTCTTGAATTGATCAGCCTGGGCAATGTTAGGTAATCTAGCATGATTGTCATCTACGTATCTATAAAATGACTTTATATCAATAAGCGGGTTGGTTTTCAGTACTGTATTAATTGCTCTATTTTCAAGATGTTAAAGAAAAGATTAAGCGAAGACTACCATAAACAAAAGACCTATCAGACCAGAATTTTCAAGTTCATGTATTTCATTGTTCTATTAAAAGTATGGTCGGTATAAACATAGTTCTATCAGAATTTTTATTTCTTTCATATTTAATTTTATCACTTTTTTAAAATTATTGCTCACCTCCAATAAACTTATGAGTACTTCTGTTGTTTCTTCAAGAGGAATTGACGGGTATAAGTTTATAACATCCAATGGTACCTGAATGTTGTCACTCGATATGTCCCACGATTTTGTTTTTTCTACAAATTGTTGCGAATTTTTTAATCGAGTTGGGTTTTCATTTAATGTTGGTTGTATTAGTTTTACTAAGTAATTTGATGTTCCATAGTTTGGTGTACCTATTATAGAAACTATAATTCGCATTGGGTAAGATTGTTCAGGCTTATGTGCCTTCACTACACCATACATATGAGGTGGTATATATATGTATGTATATATATATATATATATATATATATATATATATATATATATATATATATATATATATATATATATATATATATATTGCCAAATGATCTGTTAAGCACAATTGAAATAAATAATTAAATAAAATTGAAAATACTTTTAAAATGTTTATTATACATGTTTTATACTACATAGTTCATCATCAGTAAAATTTACAAAAATCATTAAAAAACCATTTTTATAAGGGATACAAATTAATTACTTTATTATGAAAATCTATTTAAAAATCCATTACAAAGGTTTAAAAAGACCATTAAAATAACATAACAATGTTTTGATATAATGTGTAGTAAAATGTCTCAAAACTCAAAAAACAACAAAATACTTCAAAAAACACACAATAGGTAGTAAAGTAGTTAAATTTTTTTTCTTCATAAAATCAACGTCATAATAATCAAAACAGTTTAAGAATTTTCTGTTTGATTTGTTTATTTAAATAGGGCCATTGCCACTCCTTATATGCAAGCTTTCCTTTATTTCTAATTCATACTCTCTTTGAGCAGAATCCTAAATAGAAAAGCAATCAGAGAAGGCTTTCCTTTGACAATGTTTTTCATTAAAATTTTATAACTTCTTTTATAAAATAAAGGTTTTTTCCCGTTAAATTCATTTAAATAATTACTTTTTTAGTTCCCCATGCATAAATTGGTTATAGCAAATGGAGACCCCATAGCCTGGCTTGGTCAGGAAGCGGGAGCGGTTGCTCTCATTGCTGACCACAGCAATAATATTTAGTTGCAAAAAGCTGGCCAGATTTTTTAGTTGTTTTGAGAACATTTTAAAAAGCAAAAAAAATTGCGCTCAAGATTTATTGGGCTGATAAAAGACAATTACAAAAAAAATTAGGAAAAAAAATAATCTTTTAACGTGAAAAAACTTAAAGCTAAATAAATTACGTTTAAAACAAATATTTCGAAACATCGCTCTATCATAATTTTTTTTATAAAAAAAAGTGACATTTTTTATACAAAGAAACATCTTACGATTGTTTAAAAAGAAAACAAATGTTCTTTATTTAACAAAGTTGGCAAGTTTTAGTTTTATTTAAGCTAAATTATTTTATAAATAAATAAGTTAATTTTTTATATATTTGAAGCAATTCTTCTTAGTAAGATAAACAAATGAAATAATTAAATCATTGAATTACTAAAGAAAAATTACCTAGATAGAAATCAACTTAAAAATCATAAATGTAATATATGATGAGGAAGTGAAACTGCTTCACAATATCGCTGATGATGTTTAGTGAGTGGACTTTTTAATTTTAATTAGTATTTAAAACAGAAAAAAGTTTAATGAGTTTTTAAGAATGGCAACTGAAGCGAAAATAATTAGAGTTAGTAAACCAATATCTAGAAACTTTACTTTATATCTAATAATTTGCTAGATATATTTGTGTTCTGTCGTGACCTTAGGCGCGGTGCTTGTTTATCCGCGAGTTACTTTGTATGCGTTGTTTGTGTTTAGTAATCAGAAACCTCTTATATATTTGTTACATAATTAGTTTTATTAACTTTAGTGATTATCATTAAACTCATTGAAAACGCAAATATTTTTGTAAGTCTTTGTTTACAAATTAAATCATAAAAATTCCTATAAAAGATACATTACGATAAAACAGATACACAAAATTAAATTTACATAAAGAATACATACTTTTTAAATAAAAACAAGAATATACTAATAAAATCTATAATCTATAATAAACTTTCAAAATTTTGATAATTTAAGTAATATATATTTAAAACATTTATTTTTGTAAACAAATAATAGTAGTTTACAGCTTTGAAGATGTGGCCGAGAATGAGCCATAGTATTGATAATATATTCTTAATACAATTTATGTTAAAAATCTCAAAACAAATCGTGAATAATACAAATTCTAAAACATTTCAATAGAATACTCTAAAACTTTATTTCGCTTAGTCAGCATCTTTTTTGAACCAATAAAATTAGTTTGTTCGTTAGTTTGGCATGTTTTTAGTGTTCGTGAATATTCTTTTTATTCTTCCACACCAAGATGTTTTGAGAATATAAGTTTTTATGTTTCCATGTATGTCCGTAAAACAAAATTTTTTTGTTTCGTACATAAACTTAAATGTTCTCAAAACGACTAAAAAACCTGGCCAGTTTTTCGCAACCTAATATAATCTCCATGGTCAGTATTCAAGAGCCTGCATAGCTACACCAAAACGTGTCTAATAAACATTTAAAAAATGTTGTTAATTTTATTCAAATATATATATATATATATATATATATATATATATATATACATATATATGTATATATATATATATATATATATATATATATATATATATATATATATATATATATATATATATATATATATATATATATGTATATATATATATATATATATATATATATATATATATATATATATATATATATATATATATATATTTAAGAGATATATG